AAAAAAAAAAAAAAAAAAAAAAATCTCCCAAAACGTTATTTGAATGGGAATTTATGGTTTAATTTAAAACAGAATAAAGATATGTTTAAAATTAAAATGATAATTTTATTGCTTTTTTCATACAGGCATTTAAAACATTTTCTTATATTTAATTATCTTATTGAATATTTCCTTATATTTACTTCTTGGCCTTTTGGCTAAGATCAAGTGAATATTTACTTATAATTGGGAATACAATCAAAATTAACAATAGTGGTAAAAATTAAATCGCAAGTGACCATTAAAAGTTTTGTATATTTTTCTGTGTGTAGATATAAAACTTACCTACATTAAAGCTATTCTTTTATTCAGTAATATAAGTGAGTAGCAATTGCATGGGTTGCATGGAATCAGACTCTACCTACTTAGTAGATTAATGATGATTAATCTTAACCAAGTTTGTATTATTAAATTTTAGTTTTTTCACTTTCAAAATATAGGTAGTAATAACAATTACCTCATAGGTATATTGTAAGAATTATTCTCTGATAGTGTTGCTCTAGCACATAGCATGCACTGTAGTTGAATTCTTACCCTTGTTTCCAAAAAGAAAGATGAGACAAAGACAATGTAAAGGCTAGCAGTTTTGATAGAAATCCTTACTACCCATTCAAGGAACAACTTTATAAAATGTTGCCTCCAGTACTACAGATATTTGTTTAATTTTATGGCAGAGTTTTAAAAGAAAATGAATGGTACTGACATTGTTAGCAGTCTCTTTTAAAAAGTCAGTACTAGTAGCCATGGTGACTTCCTATGTTCTATTAAAATTTCTTCTGTTTTAGCCAACCTGACTCCATCTTGATCCTCAATACCAGCTTGTAACTATGCTTAGACAAAGTGCTTGTGCTTGAAGAAAGCATCCAAATCCCTCCCCCCATCCTGGTTAGCAGTATATTTGCTGCGGTTTCAGGATGTTTTCTAGCTCACCTAGTGTGCAAAACTTCTTTATCCCCCCCCACTAGCTTGTCATGGTTCTACTTCTGTAAAATTCACCCTTGGTCTCCCTTGGGACCTCCCCAACTGAAAGCATGATTTAAAAGGAGAGATCCAATCATTTCTCAGTGCTAAGAGAACTTTCTGGGCATTAGCCCCTCCTCGGCCACTAGTTTTATTAAACGGACTCCCATCTGACACAGAGTGTGGCATATCTCTGTTGTTCTAACTTGCTCAGGTACAAAACTTCAAAATTTTTACTGAAATAGTTTACATAAATATATAAACAACTTTTGATCTACTAATCTATATACACACACACAAACATATATAATCACTTTAAAACAAAATAGCTCTTCAATTGATCAATGCTTTACTGAATAATGTTCTAGGGAGATCAGTTGTTGCTGGTTTAAAAGTAACCATGGAGAGGTTTAAAAACGTACTTCCTGGTACACAGAAGGAGGTAAGAACTTACTATAAATATCTTATTCCTTTAGCAAAGCACATATTATTTTGAAATGTTTTTGTTTTTATTCTGGTTAAAATCTTTATTTTTTATTGTTAATAACATATTTCTGAAATGATGCCTCTTGTATACGGCTCAAATAACATTTTCAGTAGTGTTTTCAAATTGTTGTGCAAATGTTATTTGGGGAATGCAACTGAAAGTGAGTGTTGCTATACGTACTGTTTCTACTTACCAGCCAAAATAATGGCTTAAATCTTAATATTATAAATCAGTCTCTTTTCATGACAGCTTCCATAGAAAAGGAACAAGAAGGAAGATAGTTTCTTAATATATTTCCTAATCCTATATATTATCTTCATTTTTTCTTTCATTTTATTTGCTACCTGTTTGGTTTGGCTCCATAGATACACCTCGAATAATTGCCTTGTCCTCTATGCATACATGTAAGGTCACTAAACTATGGAGGATATATTACAAATAAAAGAAATCCAGAAAAATCAGTCTAAGTCATTCCCTATATCCATACAAATATATTTTCATTGTGCTATATCAGCCCCGTAGGAAAGATCTATTTGTTCTCACTATATAAAACCAGAAGGCGAAGAGGGAAAAATAATGACTTCTGCCTGGGCATGTATTCATTTTTTATTTAATAAGGAAGTCTCATTATTTATATAAAATAAATAATGAGTTGCATTTGTTTACCTCAGAAGTTGTATTGCAATATGGCTGGACTACTAGTGACTTCAGCAGATTTAAACATTCCACATTAAGAGCAAAGGGTCTAGTTCTCATTTTTAGGAAGGAAATGTACTTGTGGCATCTCTGTGTCCTCACATTCACCTAATTTAGATCTATCATCTATCAATTTATATATCATAAATCCACCTTATCATCAGTCATAAGTCTATCTACTTACGTATGGAGAAAGAGAAGTAATATTTTCCATGGAGAAGCATGAAAATTTCACTGCTGATTTTG